AGGAAGGCACAGACCCTGCAGAAAGCTGCAGCAGACTCAGAGCACGCGTGGATGCCCAGGAGGAAATGCAGGCCCAGCGTTTGAGCAGCGCCTGGCCACGGAGTGCTGCGGCCCAGGAACAGAGCTGTTCTGCCTTTGCCCAGATGGCTTTTCAAGATGGACTTTGTCTGTCCTCACAAAAACCAGGGTGCTGACTCATCCGAATGCTGGCTGATGGCTTGGAAGCCCCAAATCCTTCTGGCCTCCAATCTGGGGGCAACATCTCCTGGGTCTGATCATGCGGTGCCTGAGCGAGAGGATGACCCAGGCTGGTTACACAGGAGTCATCTTAATTTCTCTGTTCTGTTACTTCAGATAACCCCATTGGGCGGCCGTCGTGTTGTTTTCTTACAATTCGGTACCAGCCCTGGTGGCTTTGGGCCAGAGCCCCAAAAGCTGCATCCAGCCCAGGGGCTCACAGCCACAGCCCCAGTTAGAGAGGCTGGCACCAGCCCAAGGGCCAAAAAGAACAGCCCAAAAGGTGGGATCCGGCCCAGGGGCTTCAAGCCACAGCCCAGCTGGAGAGGCCGGCACCGGCCCAGGGGCCTAAAGCTCCAGACAGCGCCGGGGAGGCCAGCACTGCCCTGGGACCGAGATGCTGGCGCTGGGTTTTGTTTTCTACTGGTTCCTATGGGACCCCATTGACCACTCTGAGGCCTTCCTGGCTTTTATTGGGCTGCACTGAAGTCAGTTGACTTCTCTTAAGTTACTTTCAGGAGGTATTACTGTTCAGAAAGGGTGGTCAGGCACTGCAATGGATGCCCAGGGAGGTGGTGGAGTCACCGAGCCTGGGGGTGTTCAAGGAAAGACTGGACGTTGTGTTGAGGGACGTGGTTCAGTGGGAGCTGTTGGGAACGGGGGAACGGTTGGACTGGATGAGCTTGGAGGTCTTTTCCAACCTTGGTGATTCTATGGTTCTATGATTCCATGACTTTACTTCAATTCACCCCATGGGTGACCCCGGTGTTGGTCTCCTCAACTTTGGATCTGGGAGGTGACCACTCCTTTGCCTATGATGGAAGCACAGCGGTGATGCAGGCACTCGCTGAGGTCACAGTGGTTGCCGGGCTGGGAGCGTTTGTGTCCCGGCTGGGAGCAGAGCTGGTGCTCTGGTGAGCGTGGTGCACACCGAGATCGAGCTCTGTGCTTTTATTGAGAGATCCTCCTTTAGAGCCCACTGGGAGCAGCGCTGCGGCGTTGTGCATCAGCTGGGCACAGCTCCGGCCCAGCAGGCTGACCAGGTGAGCTGGGTTGGTGCTGGTGGTTGGCAGCGGGTATCAGCAGAAAAGCTGGGCTGGGGAGGAGCTCCCAGGGCAAACGGTGCCCTTCTGAATAATGGCTGTACCCAGGGAAAAGGGGTTCTTGTTTGGATTCCATCCCACGTTTCAATGAGGATGATGAAATGGCATCCCCTCCCCTGGAAAATTGCTGCCGGGCAATTTGTGGGGGAAAAGGGGACCTGGGGGGGACCTGGGGGCACTTGCTGACAGAAGCCATGGCAGCCAGGCTCCAGCTGCAGCTAGGGATGCGCTGGTTGTTGCAGCCAGCTGATTTCCAAGCACTGCCTTCCTCAGGAGATGCCATTGCATGGCAGAAGAAAGCTGGGAAAATGCTTCTTCCTCGTGATTTTTCACCTGTTGATGCTTTCTGTAGGGTTCCTCGGGGATCGAGGCAGCTGAACGAGTGAAGCCAGCTCCTCCCAAGAGCGAGGGAGGTGTGGAGAGAACCCTCACACCTTGGGCTTCCTCTGCCACTTCAGCCATCATGTCCCAGCGAGGAGATGACCGTGGTTCCAATTCCTCCTCTGTGAGAGCAAAGGTATGCCTGGCTTTCTTTTGCGTGGTGTTTCTTCCTTTTTCTCATGTTTAAGGGAAGGGGTGCAGCAGGAGGAGCCCTACCGGTCCTTTGGGACCTCAAAAACCAGCTGGGTTTTGCGCTCACTGCTGTCGGCCCGGGCCGATGACGTGGACGTGGCTCAGGCTGTGTTTTCCTCTAGTGCTAATTGATCTCTCAGCACTCTGATACCCCACCTCTGGCACCTCTCTGCAAACCTTGGCTGCCCGTCCCCACCGACGTTTCTTCCTTTCCCTCCTCAGAAGCAGCGCGGCGCGGTTCCCCGCGGTCGGGAGCAGCAGCCAGCAGGCTGCCAGAGATCCAGCAGCGCCTGGCAGCGCACAGAGGGACGCGATGGGGACGGGCCGTCCTCAGTGCCAAGCAAAAGTGAGTTTCTGCAGTCCTCTGCCACGAAGGATGGAGGAATGAATGCTGAGTGTTACTCCTGAGCGCAGTGCTGCAGGGATGTCCAGTAAGGCACTGTAGAAGCGTCGGAGAGCCCGGCAGCGGCAGCTGATGGCAGCAGCGCGACAGAAGTCTGCACATGAATGCAGAGTTATGCAAATTATGCAAATTAGAGTCGGCTGAATTCCTTTCAGAGCCAAAAAATGTGTCTCAACTTTTGTGCCTCATAGCGTTGTGTTTGGTGATGCACCTCTGCTGTGCTGAATGTAGAGCCGTCGGGCAGACCGGGGTTCTGCTGCCATCTGAGGAAGAATGAGGCTTTGGGGTTTTTGTTGTTTTGGGGGTGGATTTGGGCTGACAGGACAATAGTTCTGTTAAAGTAGCAAATTGTATTTTGTTGTAGGGACGGAGCCTGCGCGTCCGTGGAACGGTGCTGGGCAAGGGGGGAAACGGAAAGCCTCCTCTGGTAAGAAGCTCCTGTGAGCTGTGCTGTGGCTCTGCCTCTGAATGGGGCTGCATGCAGGGCTGTGTGTGATGGAGGGGGGAGGAAAGAACGCTGCACATCTGTGCTGCCTGCAGAAGTGGCACAGCGTTGGATCAGCAGAAAGGCAACTGGAAGCAACTCTGCTTCAAGACCAGAACTCTGTGTCTCACTGTGCTGAAGTCTTCCTCCAAAGAGCTGCTCTTCATGCCTTTCTTGTTTCCCTTCTGTCAGAAGCTGATGCCAGTGGCCTTCCTGTGAAGCGCAGCCTTGCGGAAAGGCAGGGGGGAGCTACAGACCATGACGTGGCACCCAAGAGAGGTACAGCGGCACAGCAGGCATCTGGGTTTGGTGCACGGACTTTCCAACCAGGCTTTCTGTCCTTCCTGGGACTGTTCTCATTGCGTGTTGCTTGGGGTCTCAATCCCTGGCATTTACAGTTCCCTTTCCTGTGCTGATTTGAAACACAAACCCACGCTTCACCCGCGATCCTAAGATCCGTGAGCACTCCAGATGAGATGTCCCAGCACTGTGGCCCATTCTGCAGACTGAAAGCAGCATCGCACTCTCGTATCTTCTTGCTTCTCCTTTCTTGCCAGAGAGAGGTGCTGAGCCCGGTGCCAAGATCTACATGAAAGCGGTGCAGGACGTCCTTTGTGAGAGAGCTCGTCTCCAGGCTGGAGGGCTTCCCACAGCAGCAGGTCCCAGCTCAGGGAGAAGACCTTCCCCTGCCGTGTGCCCCCGCTCTGTCTCCAAGTCCCTGGCTGGAGGCAAACGCAAGGGCTTGGAAGCAGAGCAGCAAACAGCAGCGCAGCTGCCTGCAAACAAAAGAGCGAGGGCTCAGAGCGGAGGCAGCGTGCCGGCTCCAGCAGCACAGCCTGGGCCTGCTGCAGCACGGAGCTCCAAGCTGAGAGGTAAGGAGGTGCTGTGGTACCACCCTGCAGGGCAGTGCTGCCCTTATCAAGCACTGAAGTTGCAGAGGGTTTGCTTTGCTTTTTCCTTCTCTGCAGAGGGGAAAAGAGTCGAAGCCTACGAAGGCCCAAGGCAGTGAGGTGCCGTGTAACCCCGTCTCTTTCCGTTCCCTCCATGGTGGCCTTCTGCACCTTTCCACTGGAAATGTCATTCACTGAGAGGCTTCCAATTTCCTTTGTCTTTTTCCTGACATCTGTTTTTATGGTACCCGTGTTTCTGCAGTTTTGCTGCAGACAAAACGAATTCGGTTTTATTCTTGCTTTACAGCAAGAAGACAACAAAGAGAGAGAAGAGTGGAACTGAAGAAGGCTGCTCTGAGAGCTGCTGCTGCACGAGCAGAGGTGAGTCCTTGGTGAGCGCAGACACGGCTCTTGCTGTGCTCAGCGCCTCCGTCTGTCAGACATGACAGATATTGCAGAATCCCAGGGCAAGCAGTGTAATAGAAAAGCACCCAGCTGTGTGTTTGAGGAAATCAGCCGTCAGTGAGAGCTGCCCAGGGGAGCTTGGATGCCTTTAGCTTGAGAAGGGCGCTGTTGGTAACGGCCGGAGGGTTTTGCTGCCATAAAGAGCCTTGCCGTGTCGGGCACTGCGACCTTGGAAACCTCGTTCCCCCAGCAGAGCAGGAATCTTAGCATAGGCAGCTGCTGTGGGAAGCGACGCCAGTGACCTGAATGGCAGGACGTGCTGTGCTGCATGGGGCCGTTCTGGAAGATCAGCCTTGCTTAAGGAGATCTCCCCAGGTTGTTCCTGTCCTATCCCTAACTTGCCTCGTTTCCTTGCAGCGCTCCGCCATGAACAGCCTGGTGGAGATGATGCAGAAGCTGCAGCTGAACGACTGAGAGGACGAGCATCAGCAGGCAGCGCTGCAGCGCGGCGTTACAGGGCAGCAGCGTTCTGAGCGCCGCCAACTCGGCACCACGAGTTTGGTTGTAGTCAATAAAAATTAGAGATCGACAAAGAGCGCACGGCCTGATTTGTGCCGCGGCATTGCATGAGCTGCTGCACCACTACGGGTCCAGAGCAGAACCTGTGCAGCTTCGGAGCACCAAGCCGCCCTCCTGGCACGCTTTTTGGAGGCAGTGCTCCAAGCTCTGGGCTGTAATACCTCTGACAATGAAAACACAACTTGCATTTTAACGCGACACTGCTGTGCTCTGTACCAAATCACAGAATCACAGAATCACCCGGGTTGGAAGGGACCCCAAGGATCATGGAGTTCCAACCCCCTGCCTGGCAGGGCCACCAAACATACACATTCAGATCAGGTTGCCCAGGACCCCGTCCAACCTGGCCTTAAACACGTCCAAGGACGGGGCATCCACAACCTCCCTGGGCAGCCCGTTCCAGGGCCCAACCACTCTCCATGTAAAGAACTTCCCCCTAACATCCAACCTCAATCTTCCCTCCTTCAACTCGGATCCATTTCCCCTAGTCCTGCTGTTGTCAGCCCTTTTGAAGAGTTTACTCCCCTCCTGGGTGTAGGTTCCCTTCAGGTATTGATAGGCTGCCATGAGGTCACCCCGCAGCCTTCTCTTCCCCAGGCTGAACAAGCCCAACTCCCTCAGCCTGTCCTCATAGGGGAGCTGCTCCAGCCCCCTCATCATCTTAGTCGCCCTCCTCTGGACCCTCTCCAAAATCTCTCTGTCTTTCTTGTACTGAGGGCTCCACACCTGGACACAGGACTCCAGATGGGGCCTCACAAGAGCCGAGCAGAGAGGGACGATCACCTCCCTGTCCCTGCTGGCCACCCCTCTCCTGATGGAGCCCAGGATCCCATTTGCCTTTCGAGCTGCATGATGCAAATCAGTGCTCCTCGGGTCTCTGAGGTAGGACAGGGTGAAGGGGAGCGGCGTGAAGCTGTGTGCAGGAAATCTGAGGGTGGGAGGCACTGCCAAACCCAGCTGGAGCATCTCTGTGCAGTTTTGCCTTCCTGGGAGGAACCCAGAGCTTCCCGGTAGTTTTCTGCTCCTGTACTGCAGTGTGAGCATAAGGTTCTGCTGCCTCCTCCTTCTGGAAGATCCTCTGCTGCCATGGACGTCTGACACAGGCACCTGTCCTTTTCTGTTTGTCTTTCCATCAGGACACATTATGCCTGTTGTGTTTGCTGCACGTTATTTACCAAGGTCACCACGAAAGGGTTTTGATTTTCCTGCAGTCAGATTTGCTCTCACGTAACAAGCTTCTATAGCAGAGTCCATCTGACTTCTGAAATTATGTTGTTGAGGTTCAAGACGTTCTAGTCTTTATAGTCTTTATAGCACCGCCCTTCCCTCCTGCTTATAAGTTCCCATTGAATTACTGGAAGGCCACATCAGGTTTCCCCAGAGCATTCTCTTCTCCAGACTGAACAAGCCCAGCTCTCACTGCTGGCTCAGGTGAAGTTTTTCCTCCACCAGGACGCTGAAGTCCTTCTCAGCAGGGCCGCCCTCCATGAGTTCTTCTCCCAGCCTGCACACATATCTGGGGTTGCCCCGACCCAGGTGCAATGCCCTACACTTGACCTGGCTGGATCTCGTTGGGTTCACACAGAATCACACAGAATCACAAGGTTGGAAACGACCTGCAAGATCATCCAGTCCAGCCACCCTCCCGTTCCTATCGGTACCACAAGCACTAAACCACATCTCGTAGCTCCTCCACGTGCTCCCTGCCAGATGGAGATGAAACAGCTTTGTGAAGAAACGAAAGAACCTTGAGAGCAACAAGAGTTCATTCAGGACGTCAGGAAAAACTCCTCCAAAGAGTGGTTGGGCCCTGGACAGGCTGCCCAGGGAGGGACTGCAGGCAGATTCCCTGGAGGCGTTCAGGAAATGTTGAGGTGTGCGTATGGGAACTGCAAAGTGAGAGCCTGAACCGCTGAGTGATCACCGGAGGCGAGCCATGAGCCAGGCAGAGGAGCACAGGGAAGGCAATTTGCTGTGCTGCTCTCCTGCACCTATTCACCAGTACAGGTTGGGGATGAGCTGCTGGAGGGGAGCTCTGCACAGAGCGACCTGGGTGTCCTGGTGGACGACAGGTCGGCCATGAGCCAGCAGTGTGCCCTTGTGGCCAAAAAGGTCAATGGCATCCTGGGCTGCATTGCACACAGCGT